CTTAGCTCTAACTTTGTCAAAACAAGCCGTATGGCTAAAGCAGTGGCTGTTTTATGCAGCTAACTACCGAAACTTAACACCCCTATACTTACTTTTTGCGTTATTCTTCTGGTTTTTTGGTGCGAGCTCTGTATTTAGGGCTGAAAAATCAGGAAACCGATTTTTAACAGAAATTCGCAACATTATTTTCGGTTTTTTAGCTCTAGCTCGGCCAAAACAAGCCGCACAGCCAAAAGAACGACTGTTTTGTGCTGCTAACGACCAGCACTAACCACCCCTATCACACGTTTTTCGATTTTGGGAAAATCAGTTTTGGCCCAAATTTCGCATTTTTGATAAGGGGTACCATCATCAAAATTTTCAAAAATGGGCCAAAAATGAAGTTTCCCAGATTTGAATACAAACCAATTGGGAATCATGGCAATCAAGTTACGAGCCCTACGAGGTATTACATTCCTCCTTGGGACCATTTTTGGCTGTGCTATGACCAAAGAACTGATTTTTTGTGCTCAAAATCACGTATACGTTTGTTGACAGCATGGAGCCCGGTTTTTTTGCCGTTTCTTAGCTCTAACTTTGTCAAAACAAGCCGTATGGCTAAAGCAGTGGCTGTTTTATGCAGCTAACTACCGAAACTTAACACCCCTATACTTACTTTTTGCGTTATTCTTCTGGTTTTTTGGTGCGAGCTCTGTATTTAGGGCTGAAAAATCAGGAAACCGATTTTTAACAGAAATTCGCAACATTATTTTCGGTTTTTTAGCTCTAGCTCGGCCAAAACAAGCCGCACAGCCAAAAGAACGACTGTTTTGTGCTGCTAACGACCAGCACTAACCACCCCTATCACACGTTTTTCGATTTTGGGAAAATCAGTTTTGGCCCAAATTTCGCATTTTTGAAGGGGTACCATCATCAAAATTTTCAAAAATGGGCCAAAAATGAAGTTTCCCAGATTTGAATACAAACCAATTGGGAATCATGGCAATCAAGTTACGAGCCCTACGAGGTATTACATTCCTCCTTGGGACCATTTTTGGCTCTCCTATGGCCAAAGAACTGATTTTTGTGCCCAAAATTATGCTACGTCTTTTGACAGCATGGAGCCCGGCTTTTTTGCCGTTTCTTAGCTCTAACTTTGTCAAAACAAGCCGTATGGTTAAAGCAGTGGCTGTTTTATGCAGCTAACTACCGAAACTTAACACCCCTATACTTACTTTTTGCGTCATTCTTCTGGTTTTTTGGTGCGAGCTCTGTATTTAGGGCTGAAAAATCAGGAAACCGATTTGTAACAGAAATTCGCAACATTATTTTCGGTTTTTTAGCTCTAGCTCGGCCAAAACAAGCCGCACAGCCAAAAGAACGACTGTTTTGTGCTGCTAACGACCAGCACTAACCACCCCTATCACACGTTTTTCGATTTTGGGAAAATCAGTTTTGGCCCAAATTTCGCATTTTTGATCGAAATCATCAAAATTTTCAAAAATGGGCCAAAAATGAAGTTTCCCAGATTTGAATACAAACCAATTGGGAATCATAACAATCAAGTTATGAGCCCTACGAGGTATTACATTCCTCCTTGGGACCATTTTTGGCTGTGCTATGACCAAAAAACTGATTTTTTTGTGCCCAAAATCAAGTATACGTCTTATGGCAGCAGGGAGTCCGGTTTTGTTGCCGTTTCTTAGCTCTAACTTTGTTAATACAAGACGCACGGCTAAGCCAATGACTGTTTTATGCAGCCAACAACCAAAACTTAACACCCCTATACTTGCTTTTATCATTATTGTTCAGATTTCTTGGTGCAAGCTCTGTTTTAAGGGCTAAAAACCCGATTTTAAGCAATATTTTCGGTGTTTTAGCTCTAGCTCGGTCAAAACAAGACGCACAGCCAAAGGAACGACTGTTTTGTGCTGCTAACGACCAACACTAACCACCCCTATCACTCGTTTTTCGATTTTGGGAAAATCAGTTTTGGCCCAAATTTCGCATTTTTGATAAGGGGTACCATCATCAAAATTTTCAAAAATGGGCCAAAAATGAAGTTTCCCAGATTTGAATGCAAACCAATTGGGAATCATGGCAATCAAGTTACGAGCCCTACGAGGTATAACATTCCTCCTTGGGACCAATTTTGTCTGTGCTATGGCCAAAGAACTGATTTTTTTGTGCCCAAAATCAAGTATACGTCTTATGGCAGCAGGGAGTCCTGTTTTGTTGCCGTTTCTTAGCTCTAACTTTGTTAATACAAGACGCTCGGCTAAAACAATGACTGTTTTATACAGCTAACAACCGAAACTTAACACCCCTGTACTTGCTTTTATCATTATTGCTCTGATTTTTCGGTGCGAGCTCTGATTTAATGGCAGAAAAATCAAGAAATCTATTTCTAACAGATATTTGCAATACTATGTTCGGTTTTTTAGCTCTAGCTCGGTCAAAACAAGACGCACAGTCAAAAGAATGACTGTTTCGTGCTGCTAACGACCAATACTAACCACCCCCATCACCCGTTTTTCGATTTTGGGAAAGTAATTTTTGGCCATCAAAATTTTCAAAAATGGGCCAAAAATGAAGTTTCCAAAATTTGAATGCAAACTAATTGGGAATCATGGCAATCAAGTTACGAGCCCTACGAGGTATTACATTCCTCCTTGGGACCATTTTTGGCTGTGCTATGGCCAAAGAATTGATTTTTTTGTGCCCAAAATTATGCTACGTCTTTTGACAGCAGAGAGACCGGCTTGTTGCCGTTTCTTAGCTCTAACTTTGTCAAAACAAGCCGTATGGCTAAAGCAGTGGCTGTTTTATGCAGCTAACTACCGAAACTTAACACCCCTATACTTACTTTTTGCGTCATTCTTCTGGTTTTTTGGTGCGAGCTCTGTATTTAGGGCTGAAATATCAGGAACCAACAATATTTTCGGTTTTTTAGCTCTAGCTCGGCCAAAACAAGCCGCACAGCCAAAAGAACGACTGTTTTGTGCTGCTAACGACCAACACTAACTGCCCTTATCACTCGTTTTTCGATTTTGGGAATATCAATTTTGGCCCAAATTTCGCATTTTTGATAAGGGGTACCATCATCAAAATTTTCAAAAATGGGCCAAAAATGAAGTTTCCAAAATTTGAATGCAAACCAATTGGGAATCATGGCAATCAAGTTACGAGCCCTACGAGGTATTACATTCCTCCTTGGGACCATTTTTGGCTCTCCTATGGCCAAAGAACTGATTTTTGTGCCCAAAATTATGCTACGTCTTTTGACAGCATGGAGCCCGGCTTTTTTGCCGTTTCTTAGCTCTAACTTTGTCAAAACAAGCCGTATGGCTAAAGCAGTGGCTGTTTTATGCAGCTAACTAACGAAACTTAGCACCCCCATACTTACTTTTTGCGTTATTCTTCTGGTTTTTTGGTGCGAGCTCTGTATTTAGGGCTGAAAAATAAGGAACCAACATTATTTTCGGTTTTTTAGCTCTAGCTCGGCCAAAACAAGCCGCACAGCCAAAAGAACGACTGTGTTGTGCTGCTAACGACCAACACTAACTGCCCATATCACTCGTTTTTCGATTTTGGGAAAATCAATTTTGGCCCAAATTTTGCATTTTTGATAAGGGGTACCATCATCAAAATTTTCAAAAATGGGCCAAAAATGAAGTTTCCCAGATTTGAATGCAAACCAATTGGGAATCATGGCAATCAAGTTACGAGCCCTACGAGGTATAACATTCCTCCTTGGGACCAATTTTGGCTGTGCTATGGCCAAAGAACTGATTTTTTTGTGCCCAAAATCAAGTATACGTCTTATGGCAGCAGGGAGTCCTGTTTTGTTGCCGTTTCTTAGCTCTAACTTTGTTAATACAAGACGCTCGGCTAAAACAATGACTGTTTTATACAGCTAACAACCGAAACTTAACACCCCTGTACTTGCTTTTATCATTATTGCTCTGATTTTTCGGTGCGAGCTCTGATTTAATGGCAGAAAAATCAAGAAATCTATTTCTAACAGATATTTGCAATACTATGTTCGGTTTTTTAGCTCTAGCTCGGTCAAAACAAGACGCACAGTCAAAAGAATGACTGTTTCGTGCTGCTAACGACCAATACTAACCACCCCCATCACCCGTTTTTCGATTTTGGGAAAGTAATTTTTGGCCCAAATTTCGCATTTTTGATAAGGGGTACCATCATCAAAATTTTCAAAAATGGGCCAAAAATGAAGTTTCCCAGATTTGAATACAAACCAATTGGGAATCATGGCAATCAAGTTACTAGCCCTAAGAGGTATTACATTCCTCCTTGGGACCATTTTTGGCTGTGCTATGGCCAAAGAACTGATTTTTTGTGCTCAAAATCACGTATACGTTTGTTGACAGCATGGAGCCCTCCTCCTACCTCGTTGATCTTGTTTTCTTATTCTTATCAAAATTCACAGTATTCACAGTTTGAAATGAAAAATTTGGTCCCGTTATCCGTTAACCTTATTTATTTCATTTGAGCTTGGTTTTTGCTAACATTCCTAACATATCTTCAAATAGATGTCGCAGGAAGGTCAACTAGTTGCTTAAACCAACGAGCAAGCTTAGCCTAGGCAACAAAGTGTTGCTGTTTAAATCAATTGTGGTGCCCTCAATGATATGGGGCATGGCTTCGGACTCAAACGTCATAAAAATAAAAAGGATTTAAAACTGGCAAGTGCGAATGACTGCTAATGAAACGACGCCCTAGCAAGGGACCTTAACAATTCTTCTATGAGAGAACAGATAAACAGGCACTAGAGTCAACCACCTAGCATCTTCAAAGCAATTAGAAGACTGCTAAAACGAATGCACATGGTCAATCCCTGAATAAACAATGACTTAATTTATTTATTTATCTCTTATGTCATTTTTATATTATTATAATCAAACTATTATAGCCTTTAAGTTGGCTGAATGACGTTTAATAAAATTTATTTATTTAGTTGTACAAAAAAATCTTTTGTGGGGAATTCGGGATAAACTTATTTTCGTATTTTAGATAATAATGATGATATACAATAATAAAAATGTCAAAAAATAATATTTTAGGTTTTAATACAGTATTATCGGAAATTTAATTATCAATTCAAGGACGTATGGCATTCCACATCTAAGTCATTATTGGCCAACTAATGACCAATATACAAAAAATAACATTTCTAGGTCACAATGTCAGTTGATTGGAAACTTAACTTAGCACTTCATTCACTATTTGGACTTTTTTTGCATTGTTATGGAAAAAGACAATATTAAAATCTATATAAAACGCCATTAAAACGCGGAAAATGTCATAGCTCTTTAAAGACACTTATTGACAAATGCGTTTGATCAAAATTTCATACTAACCATTTAATGAATTGGTACCAACGTTTTTGGCGGTAAGTGCTAGTCCTGTATGCAAAGCCTTTCATAAATATTTACATGGTAATTAATTTGGTTAAAAGGGGTCATTTTGTGCACACTAAATTCTCTTTTATATTTCGTTTATCGCGGGGTTTTTAACTTCCTATAAAAGTCTCTCCAGTTTTGGATAACAATTTAGATAGTAACCTGCTGGCTAGAAAGACATGTTTTATTCTTATCCATATAAGGAACTTAGTTTTCCCATTCAGTGTGTTTGGCTGAAACTGAATGGCTCTTGGCCCTTATCAGAATCTTCCGAAGAAAAGAAAAACCAACCTTTTTATGGCTATTCATTTTTGTCCAATGCCTATATAATATGGGCGTGGTACGTAATAGCTTCTGTTGGTATAACGATTAGTTATCAAACCGCTTTTTTGTTAAAAAACCTTTCCGATATTATAATCACCACGGAAAACTGTTGTACCACGTTCATGGGAGTCCTAAATTTTGTTCGACTCATTCACTTACGCTTGAACCAACGCAAATTTCGTGATCTAATTGAACATTTTTCTTACGAAATTTGGATAACTGAGTAAGTTTTTAAAAAATACAACTCATAAACTGTTGGTAATTTAAACCTTTTTCTAAAAATATGTCAAAAAATAAACTGCAGCATGTTTATAGTATGTTTTTTTTTTTTTTACAGCCATTCTAAAAACGCTGTGGCGGCTAATTGTCGAAAACGCATGATCACATTTAGCATAATGACAGCCTTGCTATCGTGCCTTATAATCATGTACTGCGTCTTACCATTAGTTGAAATATTTTTTGGACCCGAACTGGACCCACAGGATAAGCCATTCCCTTACAAAATGGTCTTTCCATACAATCCTCAAAACAGTTGGCTCCGATACGTGCTGACGTATATGTTTACATCATATGCAGGAGTTTGCGTAGTCACCACATTGTTTGCAGAAGATACAATTTTGGGTTTCTTTATAACATACACTTGTGGCCAGTTTCAACTGTTACATGAACGAATCGAGAAAATATTAAAGGGAACTAATGCGGAAACCGCGGAAAATATTCAATTGGAGCGCCTCAAATGTATTGTACAAAAGCACAATAATATTATAAGGTTGGTATTATGTTGATATAACTTAAATTGTATTAGATAATATATATTTAAATTGTAAGAAAATATTATTAAATTTTTGTTTAGATTTGCTAAAAGCTTGGAAGACTTTTTTAATCCAATTCTGTTGGCAAATCTCATGATATCATCAGTTCTTATTTGCATGGTTGGCTTTCAAATAATAACTGTAAGTAATTTTTCCAATTCATTATTTTTAAATAACAATAATAGTAGTATCTTAACATTTTCTTCAGGGGAAAAATATGTTTATCGGGGATTATGTTAAGTTTATAATCTATATATCCTCTGCCCTTTCGCAATTATACGTATTGTGCGAGAATGGAGACGCCTTAATAAAACAGGTAAGAAAACTAATTGCATTTATATAAAACCTTATTTTAAATGTAAATTTTCAGTCTACGTTGACAGCACAAGTTCTTTACGAATGCCAATGGGAAGGATCAGATCGAGTCAAGTCGTATTCCTATAAATCAACTAGCAAGCGAGTCCGGAATCAAATATGGTTTATGATACTCTGCAGCCAGCAACCAGTACGGATAACGGCTTTCAAGTTCTCAACTTTGTCCTTGCAAAGTTTTACGGCGGTATGTATCACAATACATAATTTTATAGAGCAAAATAAACAATAAATGAATTTTGTTTCAGATTTTAAGTACGTCAATAAGCTATTTTACGTTATTACGGTCAGTTTACTACGATGACGAAAAGAAGCACGACTAACTATAAATTTGTCTACATATTTAACAATTTTATTTTAAGAAATATGTTTCCGTATCTACCGCTTAATTTTTAAAATGTTTGTAAATAAAATGACAGCTATTCCTCAGATTTGCTAATACATACATATACTTTAGTTACCTTTGTATGTAGGTGCATATCGGATGAATTTCAATTGAAGTTTGTAAAAGGCATTGGAAAATCAATACGCTTAACTATCGGAAGCTGAAAAATTCGGTTTTTAGATTTAGTATATATTATATTGGATAATTATGTCTAATATTTTCTAAGTTGAATAGATACACAAATTAATATTTTCCTATTTTTAATGAAATTCTCAGACAAACAAAAGATCACAAATAGTAACTATTAATATTTGTAATTAAAATATGCACTACCCATTTCATTGATTTAAATATCATTTTTGCCACGCATAGAGCTTCCTGCAGTAGTCGCATTGATAATAGATCCACTGCCACTGGATGCACAATGGCCGGTTATTGAAGCACTAACCTCTCCAACCACGGATCCTTGTCCCGATGATATACCATGCTGGACCATGAATTCATGCTCAGTTTTCGCCTGTCGAAGCCAATTACGTAAATCGCGAGTTCGTTCCACTAAACAAGTAGTATAGTTAACGGCCCTTGGACTCTGGGAAACAATAGTATTAGCCGTAAGTATAGCCGCACCCATTGAACTCTGCATCCGGCCGGCAGCCAGTTGACGATAAGTCTCCAATCTATCTGCAAGAGTGGGTATAGAATGCGGAATATGTACTGCTCCGCCACCCTCAATATCATCAGATAGGGAAAAGTTTTGAGTAGTCGATTGCTGATGCTTGAGCACCTGCGACCATCCAATATCACGAGGTGATAGTGCCGGAATAGCTGAGGCTGATTGCTCATGCTGTTGCTGTTGGTATTGCTTTTGCCCAAAAATATCTAAAATTTCACGAATTTCTGCATTAAGTATTTCCAAATTTTCAATACACTCGTTCGACTCCTGCTGATAATAATCCTTCTTTTTGTGGAAATCAGCTGCACTGGCCAATTCAGTGCTACTAAAGCCCGAACTTGAGTGAGACGAGAGATCGCTAAGTGTTGCCGCATCGTCAATAGTTCCCAAATCCAGGATTGACTTTTCCTTTTCATAGATTCGCAATAGACTCTGCTCCAGATGTCTAAGACGTATTATCTTTTCTCCGAGTAAGGAACGAGTTCGGTGTAGATTTACCTCCATCTCGGTTAGTTCTTTTTCCTCTTGAATTAACTGATCAATAGAAAGCTTTGGGGATAATGTAGTTATTTTCCGTTGTTGGCTAATTTCTCGTTGCCGTAGCCGGAAATTTGTGCGCTGCGTCCTTAATGATTCCTTTGCCCGACGCACCGAATCACGTTCAAGATGTATTCTATGCTTGAAAAATTCCAGTTCCGAACCAACGCCATTTGGTTTTACTGAGATATCGGTGAATGGATATCGCAAATGATAGGGAGCATCCGAGGTATTTTCGGGAAACTGATCCTCGAGAGCTTCGAGTTTTTGGAGTTGATGTCGTAAGTTCTCTACTGGAGTACACGGTCGTTCGCCCTTATAGCTTGTATCGGAATTCAAACGCGAAGTCGATGCCGACTTGGTACGCGAAAAGAAGATCCTACTTATGCCAGTTGTTTCTTTGATTTGGTTACTATTGTTGTTCTTCTCTAGATTTGATTGTATTGCTACGGCACCCACTATATCCCTCGATGAGTTACCATTATCACTCACCGTTCTGGCTGAAAGTACGCCACTAGCAGACTTTAGAAACGGCCCATAACGACCATTATTATAGGTATTCGATAGGGTTGTATCCGATTGACTCATAGATGTGTTATCATCCTGCAATTGCAACTGCCGAATGTTGTACGTTTTGGTCAGTTGACTTTTATGTGGAACTGGGGGCTTAACAGTCGCATCACCTGCAATCGCCTGATCCGAGTAACTTAGTGAACGATTATCACTATTTCCAGACTGTGTTTTATAGTATCGCTCCATAGAACGCTCCATTTCAGTACCGCTTGTAGATTTAGTGCTATTCGTATGATTATGTTGTGGCACCATTTGTGCCTCTCGTCGACGATTACGTCGCTCTAGAGAAAGCTTCACATCCGTCTTGAGCCGAACGTATTTTTCCTTAAGGCAACGATATTTGTCTTCGAGTAAACGCTTTTCGCATCGGACCTTCTCGTAGAGTCTTTCCTCGCCCTTCTCCCGAAATCGCAGCTTTTCCGAATCCAACTCACGGGCAAACTTGTCGCGTAATTGGGAAAGTCTAGAGGCCTGTTCACGGCGCAAAATCTCCTCCTCGTTGTGTAATTCCCTTTCGAGATCACGGAGAATCTCCTCGTGATTACTTTGAAGGGTTTCGATGCGAGTCTTATGTTCGCTAACCACAAGACTACGCTTGTTTTGCAATTGTCGCTCTAACTGTACCCGATATTTTTCGATTTGTAGCTCAAAGGCTTCCTCTAATTTGTGCTGATGGGACGTAAGACGTAAATCGTATTCGTGTCGAAATCTCTTTAGTTTCGCCTCATAATCATGTCTGATAGTTTCAAAGTCGTTCTGTAGCTGAACTTCACTAGCGGTAGTATCAGAAAATATTGGCAAATGGGTAGAATTACTGACAACCGATTTGTCGGTATCTATCTGAACCGATTTAAGTTGTAATGGATCTAGCTCAAAGCTATGCTTTCCACTTAATTCCTCTAGATCGAAGGCATTGTTTCCGGCCAAAATGGATGAGTCTTGTTCGGACTTGTTTACGATAAAGCTGCGCACAGAACTTCCCTTAGAATCGGAATCTGTGTCATCGTAAAACAATTTTGGTGTGTCAGTTTCCTTCGATTTATCCTCTGATGCTTCTCCAGTTCCAGTTGTTTTCATATGCTCGGGTGATTTCTCCATGCTTTTATTTGAATCCAATAAGAAGGGATTTCGATTGTACATGTCCACATTTTGCTTGTGCCAAAGGTCGGCAGCCTCATCTTTACTAGCTTCCTCATCACCGTTACCATCATCACCATCATCATCATTATGATCTTCCACAACCACCTGAACATCGTTGTGATCATCCTCCAAGTTCTGCTTATAAGATTTTGTCATCTTTGTCGATAATGTTTCCTCTGAGGGATCCTTCATTCGCTCCGCTTGATCCAGATTAAAACGCACACTCTTCTTATCCTCCACCTCAACCGTTGGTTCAAGTCGATCCAATCTTCGGCTTATATCGGTTATACTAGAATCACGTAGAATACCCTTAACACCGGATGGTGATGTATATCCATCGCTCTCCAACTGTCGACGTGCCTTTTGAAACATCGAAACTGTCGCAGTAAGTTTTCCAAGCTCTTCGTTCCCCTCGAAACTTTCCGATTTTCCATTTATAGTAGGTTTAGTCGCAATTTGAGGTTTCGATTTGGTTACCTCAAAGCCAAGATGATAAAATCTTCCTAAATCCTTTGTTCTTGAATCCAAAAATCGACTTTTACCATCGCTTAATAGACTTGGTGTCAAAAAACTGGCTTTACTGGCTATCGACCACTTCCGTGACAAATTGCTGGAAGGCAATGGGCCCGGAGAGGGAATATCATCTATGCCCTGCATGCTTTTTATTCCGGAATCCAATTGTGACATCTCATCCGATGTGTCAACGAATTGCACATTTTCTACAACCGAACCAGTTTCTAATTGCTTCTGACGCGCCTGATTTACCAAATTGCGATATATGGCATCTAGCGGATGATCCCACTGTGATTCTTTGGTACGCGTATTGTAATAGTAATGGCCATTTTTCTCCTCAGAGTAGCTGTTACAAAATATAAATACCCTTAATAATTATTTAATATATAATTAAAATGTTTGCTTACCATATTTTCCAATCCGATGGCAATGCGGCCATCAGTCCTTCCTTAGCAAGATAAAGCAAATGCTGTTCGCGCTGAGGCTCGATTCCAATTAAAGAGGCATATTCGTTAATTTCTAAAACAACCAAAAATGCAAATTAATTCCCAAGTCTCTCTTAATTAGTAGTGTTTAAATTAGAAGGAAAATAAAAGAAGTTAATGAGTACAACAAATATAAAGCAGTATAATTTTACACAATGTGTAAAACAGCAAAGTAAGCTCCAAAATATCCTTTTTCCGGTTCAAAAATTCTAGAAAACATTTTTCTCTTATTTCGCTAATTCTTGACAAACAGCTAAAAAATTTAATTAATGCTGCCTATACATTTTTACATATTTATATGTATATAGTTATAAATACATGTATTTATATATCTTCAATCGTCGTAAATTGATTAAATATTGGATTAGAATGTGCATTACCAAATTAACTATTAGAATTGTTTTTTTATTGTGTATGTATGCACGTTATATTTAAGTAAAAGTAACCTAATTTATTTTTTCAATAGTATGTTTTCCCAAAAGTCCTTTAAAAGAGTGCACCTACCTACATACTAATTCATATGTGGGTACACATACTTGTGTATTTCCGTACATACTCGTACACCAAAATGGTTATAGGGATTATTATTATAACTATTTAAAATAAACTTACCCTCCGATGAAGGAAAACACGCCTCGTCGAATACTTCCTCGCAAATCACCGACGAACCCTGAGATGATGATGATGTTGAGACCGCTTTGGTCGTTGCAGTTGTTGCTGTTGCCGAGGAAATCCTCTTGCAAATACTGGTGCTTGTCATTATTGGGACTTTTCTTTAATTTCACTAACCAACAAATTGGGTTTTTAAGCTAATGTCTTTGTTATATGCGAAGTTATCCGTACTCAAAGTGTTGTTCAATATATTTACATATATTGTTATATTTTTCCCATTTGACAATCATAATTCTCCATATTAATCCTTAAGCGAGTCCTGCCGACAGCAGAGTAAAAAGCAGAATAATCGGATGCAGTTTGACCTAAAAATGAAAATATAAATACCTACTGAGTCATCGCTATACTATAAATATGTACGTGTGTATGTGCAGTTGGAGCATGCTCTGAAGGCGGTTGCTGGCCAATTATCTGGTTGGCAACAGGATATTGCACAGAGTTTACATGTCTGCGCAGCTTGACGACAACGGAGTCCTTTTCAACCACGATAACGACCGAACACAAGCTCAATAAAAAGACTACAAGTTTGTTATTATTCAAATAAAACTCACCAAATAAGGGTGTCAAATTTTATTTAATTTCATAGAAACTATTACCAAACATCTGTATCCTTTGCATTCAGAAGAAAGTTTAGTATACTTTATTTTATTATATTGTTATTTTATTCAATTTCCTACTTTTCAGCCATTCCAAATATAGATATGTTATTATATCTAATATATGTTATTAGATCGATTTAATTTGTAAAATTCGTATTAGCGAGTTTAGATACAATTTCTTTGAACATTATATATGGAAATTTTAAAGCTTACGACTGCTAAGATTTTAAAATAATGTGGGATCCTAGTGTTCACGGAGCACCATACAAACGTACTATTTTGTAAAAAAAAGGATTAATGTCTAAACATATAATTTATTTCTCATATCAAATTTTAAAGAAAAAATCTCTATTTTTCTATACTTTAGCTGTCTCTACCTTAGAAAAGATCAGCGTTAAATTAGCCAATACTTTATTCTTACATAACTTTCTTAAGTTAAACATAAATATTCTCTATATGGAATTTCTTTATTTTTTTCTTTGCGTTTATGTATTAGTTGTTAAAATTGTTTTTGTTTGTACTAAAGTCAAAAGTTTAAGAAAGATGTACCGCTGTGGGAATAGAATATAAAGCCATTTATTATCGATAATGCTTTAGTGATATCTCCGATTTATAATTTTTCATATGATTTATCAAATTCTTCAAAACATTTAGATATGTTTAAAACACCTCTCAACCCTACCTGAAAATAATAAAAGTAATATAAATATCACTTGATAAATATATAAGCACACGCGAACTTACTTATGGCGGGTATAAATAACTACTCTAGCTTAAAGTACGTAATGAATATTATATATGTATAATGATAATAAATAACATCCAAATTCAGATTTCAAGCGGAGCGTGGACTTCATGATGATCACCATGAAAAAGAACATCGGGCTAGAGACTTACATTTACCCACGACCTCTAGCCCTAGCAAACACTTGGGAAGCAGGTAAAGCCGAAATTAATGCATCCATTAGTAAAATTACATAAATTCGCATGAATCCAATGAACTAGCATTGACAGCCGCGAGAAGTTGATTGTGGACAATATAATTGCCGACCAAGATGCGCTAAATAGAATCAAGTATGTTGATTCAGATAATGCCTTATCACTACCATTAGGAAAGCATAAAGTACTGGACAAGTATTCGGATAATCAGGATGATGGTAAGTGACCAGTTTCAAACTCATGTCTAACTTTGCAATCTATGTATGTATATTTATTATAAATATGTCATAGATACATCTGTCCGAAAATATCTGGTCGTTGGCGTTCAATGGTTCTCTTTGGTAACCGAGAATCTGTTAAGCCACCCGTTTATAGTACTGCGAAGACAATGTCAGGTTTATAATGCCTCTAGACGCTACCATCTGCATCCATTTCAACTTTTGCCTAGTATCGTACACCTGCATAGAAGGCAAGGACTTACAACTCTGTGGAAAGGAGTGGGCAGTTGCCTCCTCGTTCGCGGAATGACCTTAGCTATAGACGACTTCATCTCAAAACTAACAAGCTGGCCCAAAGATGTCGATAGTCGAACCACCTTGAAGAGATTCGGACAGCATATTTTACTGAAATGGTAAAATTATTTACCTATTATGGCAAAGGACCTTACTAATTCGTATTATATTTTAAGTATAAGCATCAGTCTGGTGGTACCTTACCATGCTGCCTCTCTCGTCGAGACTGTGCAGAGCGATATAGCCAGCGAGAAGCCAGGACTTTTCGATGTCTTTCGGGAAGGCAGTCTGCGACTTTTCTACTGGAGTTCCCCGCAAAAAGGACGGATGCTACCAGCCTGGGCATTAATCGGGCCAAGTGTTTCGTTTGGCATCACAAAGTATCTATTTAATTTGGTAATACGAGGCGTGTCCTCTCGCATAATGAGGCGTCGAATAACGAATTCTCAGGAAAGCCAAAGTGGAAAGTATCAGGATAATACGTTGGAGCATCAGAATGCAGAAATATACGCTAGCCTCATCGCAATACTAACCACTGAGGTCATATTCTTCCCGTTTGAAACAATTTTACATCGTCTGCAACTCCAAGGCACTCGAACTATAATCGACAACCTTGACAATGGCTATGATGTTGTCCCGATCTTGACAAACTATCAGGGTGTCGTCGACTGCTATCAAACAACAATTGTCTCTGAGGGAATTTGTGGCCTATACAAGGGCTTTGGGGCCATGATCCTGCAATTTGCAGCACACATTGCTGTTATAAAATTAGCCAAATGGGTTGTGAATCGTATCGCTGAAGTTAAATCGAATCGACCTCCACAACGAATAGTGCAGTACTATAATCTGGATGGCATTGCTTGCAACTCAAGGTCTACGACTTTATCGCCAAGTCTGTCCAGTACTGAAATAGAAGAGAATAGTCTTGGACAGAATTCACTAGATTAGTCAATTGCTAGTCCAATTATTATGCACATGTAAATTATAAAAAAAAAAAAAAAAGAACAGACGTAGTTTTATTTTCTTATGGGCTATACAAATACACGGAAATACACGGTTGGTCCGCATGTTCCTTGGTAATAGTTATTATCTTCAAAATTCTATAAAACAAATAAGAATAAAAAAAACCATAAACCGTTTCATTGGACACACAACTTTAAGAACGCCATATTAAATTCCAAGAAATAACCGTCTACCAAGCATATTTTAAAATAATATTTTCGGATCTTTTTTTAAATGGTGATTGGCCCACCATTCGATTGCTCCTTGGATTTAGAGCACAGCTTTGAAAATTGTATTATCGAAAGGCATTTATTTGAAATATCCTCGTGATCCAAAAAACAATATATACAACTGAACGCCATTGGCAGAACAATATTTAATATAATTTCTGTTCGAAAAAAATTATGTCGATTGATGTTTCACATTTTAAGTTTATGTTCTGATCTTGTTGCCTTATTTCCTATACCACATCTGAAGGGTCTTCATACGCTTAACTTTCTTCTGTAGCTGCAGAACGCCGTACATTAGTGCCTCAGCAGTTGGTGGACAACCAGGTACATATATGTCGACGGGGATTATCCGATCACAACCGCGGACGACTGAATACGAATAATGGTAGTAACCACCGCCGTTGGCACAACTGCCCATGGAGATCACCCAACGTGGCTCGGGCATTTGATCGTACACCTTTCGCAATGCCGGTGCCATTTTATTGGTCAAAGTGCCCGCGACAATGATAACATCGGCCTGTCGGGGAGATGCACGGAATACGACACCATACCGATCCATATCGTATCGTGGAGCTGCGATGTGCATCATTTCCACGGCGCAGCAAGCGAGGCCGAAAGTTAGTGGCCAAATCGACCCCTTGCGACCCCAGTTAAGGAGATCATCTAGCCTTGCCAACGACCATTCCGCAACGGAGGACTGTTTTGTCCCAAATGGGGAGTATCCTTTCTTTGGCAACGTCTGGGCAACTTCGGCGACCGGAAGAGTTTGTTGATTCCGCACCAAAACCATATTAAGTGCGGGCACCGCGGGTATCGTATTCGAAGTCGAGGCTACCTTTTGGAGAGCCCGGGTCAGGGTCGATGACATCATCGCCGAACGCAGCATTTTGGTTCTGCTAAGTTAAGTATAAAGTTATGTTTTGATAGTGCATTTAAACATTAAATACCTATTTATGTAACTTCAACTTATTTCGATATATATGGGATGCGTATGGTATGACCTGTCCGCTGAACGACTAAAAAATACCAATTCACTCACAGAAATTTACTAAAGAATACTTTTGTATTTCTAATAGTGTGCGCCCACCGTGGGCACATTCCTCGCTGGGGAATTCATCAAATACCCCATTTCCACATTACACATTACATTTTTCTCACCGTAATATCAATTGTCACTAAATTTTTTTTTTTAATTTGTAAAAATTGTATACCATTTATTTCATTTCATATGATATACAATCTAGGTAATTTACAGAAATATTTAATCGAAAATATTCACAAAAAACTTCAAAATTCTTGAACAAAGAAGTAGTAAGGCAAGAATTGTTTAAAATAAAATTGTGATTAAATTTTAGGTTGTCTGGTAATAATATAGCGTCAAATATAATCGTATCTGGCAATGCTGTATATTGTTTGAAAGATATTGGCATCACCTTTAAAATAACATATAGTTTGTTTACATGAGCTGCGGAATCTCGCAGAAAGATTATTGCTGTCTTAACAGATAACAAACTTTCGATGCAAACCGCCGAACAGTGGTTTAGGCGATTCCAAAGTGGCAATTTTGATACCGAAACACCCAAGCCTTTCGGACGACCAGTGACCGTTGATACGGATAAAATCATGGAAATAGTGGATCGAGATCGTCATGTGACTATTAAAACCATCGCAGAGGAGCTGCAACTGAGCACGGGAATTGTCCATAGGCATTTAAAGTCGAAAAATTTAACAAAAAAGTTCGGTGTAAATAAAAAATTATAGAAAAGAAATAACATGCTTTCGTATTTGTTGACTTTATTATTGTATATGTATTGGTGTAATTCAGTTATCGTCTATTGTTACAGCGGCTTGGCTAACGTAATGCTAACAATTCAATGGTAGTAAAGCGATAGATCAAAATAAAGCAACTCGAACTGTTTGATTTTTACGATGAGCACTCTTAGAAACTAAAGATCAAAAAACCATTTATTGATTTAACTCGCTAATTTATATTTCAATTTGAATTTGTAGATTTCGCTTGATTGAATTTCCATTTCAAAAAATGTTACTGATCGCAGAAAGAAGTTGCAGATTTTAAATTTCATCGATATTCAGATCTAGTTCTTCTCCATCAAAAGCATTGTCTTTAGGAATGGGTTGTCTTGTATGCTCATTTCTAATTTCATCTTGTTGTTCCTCTTCAGATTCATCGCCTATTTCTGCTTTTTCTGATTCGCTATCAGATGATTCTTCTTCAGCATTTTTAAGCCACTGAACGAACGGCATAACTTTCTCGTGTATCTCAGCCGCAATATTTTTGGAGACATGTCTCTTGCTGACTTTCTGCGCCCACTCTAGGATGACGGATTCATCGAGTATGTCTAAATCGTAAAATACTTTAAATATTCCAGCGACTTTGCTCATAAGTGTGCTTTTATGTAGCTCGATAGTTTGTTCAACTCCACCAATTAAATAACGCTGTGCTTTAGGATTATTGTGAGTGAAACGAAGAAGCAAAGGGCGGTTCTTCTGAGCATCCCTGATAATATTGTCAGTGAAAAGCAACTCAGCGAGGACCAACGGAGCCTTGTTAATAATATCCAAACGTTCCGCTTCAATCAGCAGTTCCTTATGAACTGGCACATCATCCAATTGCTTCTTGTCCCGCTTGTCCTTAACCAACTCATAGAAAATATCGATGCGCTCCTTTTCAGTTTTATCATAGTCGTCAGATATAGTCATACCCTTAGCACCATCTGTCAGATCTTGCAAACGAGCACGTATAGCCTCCTAATGGGGGGAAATATTTAGATATTCGCTTAAGCTTAATTATTAAATACAATGTACCTTCGAAACATCGACGCTCCATCCCTCATCGTCGTCATCTTTAGCCGTTTTCTCTGGAATTGCAGCGCTAATTTCTGCCTCAGTTTGGCTAGCCTGATTAGTTCCGCCGTCAGATTCTCCACCAGAGTTATTGGCTAAAGAGTTGTTGGTCATGGAGCCATCAGCGTTATCGTTCTTTTGCTTTTGCTTCCTGGAACGCTTTCCCTCCGTTAGTGACGATCCCTGGGCAGCCGGATTAAGCGATGGAGGGTTTTTCACAATGAAGGTGTTCACTTTATGGTTGACTTTCAGCAAACCGTGGAAGCCACAAGCCTTGCATGACTGCGAAATGGTCTGATTTTTTGCAGATACAGTCAAATTGGTCTCCGGATTGTCGCATTCAGGGCATAAAACAAACTTGCGAATAAAGCCATCTAACAAATCTTGCAACTTGTTGACATCATGCGATCCATTTACAACAAAGCGCTCATTCTGAAATTAAATAATATATTAGTTCATTATATATATATCATGAAATCATGAAATAATGTAATGAAATCAATACCTTATGATCGAACAGAGTTTGGGCCCCCAACTCGCAGCCAAAATATTTAGTTGGATAAGTAGCCGGACGTCCGATGGCCCGAGCAACTTCAGCCATATTAACAAGAACGGTCTTAATGCCGTTTCCCTTGCCTTCGACCTTTGCCTGCAGACGTGGCATCTTATAACGATAAAAGATGTCAGTCACACTGCGGTTAACGTTTACGGTGGCCATTTTGTTTTCTGTTTAGTTCCACCACGGGTAATGCTAAATCGGCTTATTTTAGTTCGGATAATGTTTCTATTAGAGGAGGCCAGTGATATTTATTGGTTTTATGTGGATGGAAATTGATTTTCTGCTAGTTTGTATATTTTCCAAATTTCGTTTCCGTTCATTAAATGTTCTTTTATTGTATGTTGCTGCTTGCTGTTCACTTATCCAATGTTTCAAGAATAAAGCATGAATTTGTATCTTTCCGGAATCGGTAATTAATTGTGCTTTACTCAATTAGCTTGTAGATTCTGCTAGAATTACTTGATAATATTATTCTTGTAGTTGTTTTGCAAAACGGTATATTGCTTTGTTATTTTGCTGAAGTATTGGTTGATTTCCGCCTTGGTAAATATTCAGCTATTCTATTATTTCCGTTATTATATGAATAATTAAATATATACATATACATATATATAGAGATATATATAATTAAGTATATATATATATATATATATATATTTATTTATATTGTAAATTTACCAGTTTAAGTCTTTTAAAAAATGGCAAAGCAGCAGGCTCATGTGTACCTGAATGGCTGTAATTTCCGATGTCTGTTACTCGAAGTCCTAAGATGAAAAAGATTTTGTTAATCAGAACATATGGAAATATTCAATAAGAAAGAATAGACGTTTATAAAAGCTTCAATACGCATGGTCCCCTTATCAATTCCTATATCGAGTTTAAACATCTTTTTATGCCCTCTTGAATAATTAATCATTTAATTAATCTTGAATAATTAATCATTTAACTGAACATTCTGCGTACAGCGAAGGAAATCCCTTATTGGTCGATGAAATCGATATGTCACATCACTTTCTTTTTGTTTGAAAATGTAATCATTTTCATCGCATTTATGCATTTATGCATTTAAAACTATACAATCGAAAATAACAATTTAAGCGTGATCTTTTAAATTTCAAGCATATAATATAGGTTTTCAGCGTCTTCGATTTGAAATTGATAAAAACATTTAACTTACCGGTGACTTATGGTTCGCCCTTTTGAATTCATGCACAGCTCGAACCCTTTACTCCGTTTTTTTTCAATGAGACGTGCGGTTTTTTTTGCTGGTGTTTCTGAAAAAATAATCGTTAATTAGATTTCAAAACGAAACCAAAAAAGGCGTTGGCATTGCATTCGAATTAGAAAGCGCGTGAGACCTTAATGTGTTCTTAAGCTTGGTTTAAAAAACAATGCAATCCATGTGTGATTGAATTAAAAACATAACAGTGATGTGGATTAATTCATTTTTCGTTCCTTCTTCAGTATCACTGAGTTCCAGTTAAAACTGGAAAGCCGATATATTTCTGATCCGTCGTAATTTTGAAGAAAAATGTAACATAAGGATTCAATTACACCAAAAGAAAACGCCCTTAGCTGCAATTATACTGCGTTCAACTGAATTTATTTGATCATTAGCGAGTCTGGTTTTATTTTAGTTAATAACTTAATAAAACGAAAGGGAAATAACCGCAAAATGATACATCGAATTTGGGATGGATTTGTCTCAAATATTTTCTGATATCGCAACTAAATTAATTGAACTGACAAATATTTCACTACCAAGTTAGATTCAAATTTTAGGTTCTTACCCTTAGGTGTTCGTTTTTCTATAAACTGTTTAAAAATATATTAAAAAAATAAACGGACTGCGTGTCAGTCTCTATTTCTCCTACACATTGGATCCTAACGAAAATAATTTTTTTAACCTGTTTTCATTAAAACAGGTGGGGAGCAATATGATATAAGCAAGGGATTCTTCATGGAAGGCTAACGTAAATAACTCTTGCTTAAAGTAAAGCAATAACTCATTTTTTTATTTCCAAGAACTCACTGGAAGTGTTTTGTGTTTTTTACCACAAATAAATAATGTTTATATATTAATATGAAATAAGTATATTCCCTTGTTAATTTGTTTATATTAAAAAATAAATATAAATATAAATAATAATGAATATAATATAAAAAATATTAAAATATTATAGTATAATGATAATTCTCGAGGTAAATTAATAGCTTGAAAATTAAACAATTCTATGATTTATTTAGCATTTATTACTTACCACCGTATCTTTCAAAAGTCATATAAGATTTTGTTTCCCCTCCTTTGGGGTGCGCAATGCCAGTTCGCAAATTAGACAAAGATATCTTACTCTCGGGTATTCCTTGTAAAGTCAATCGCAAATTGACTCGGAAAATATATATGGATAAATCAAAAACAAACAAATCGCACTGCCACAGGAAATTGATACTTTTTTTGTTTAGCAATAATACCGTGCTAATATAATAATATTAGTAACGCTTATAGGCGCTTCTTTAATCGCAAAATTTTCAATTTTGGGCACTCAACTATTCTGCAAATAGGAAAAGAAAAATAAAATTAGGAATGCGCATGAACAAACATACATATGTATACTACTCCGTAAACTTTGTATTTTCTACTTTGCTTTAGTTTTGCAAAAGAGAAGGTTAATTTAGCATTCAAGTATGTATATATATAAATATATCTTTACTTATATATGTATTCATTCTATAATTTGGTATCTAAAATCACTTTATTTAAACAAACCATATGATTTATGTTATACATGAAGGGTGGTCTTTTTTAATTATTAATGAGAACTTGATCCAAAGTAACATAAAGTTGTGGAAGCTTTTCTTTTAGTTTCATAAAAAAATTTATATATATATATATATATATATATATTCATTTTCATGCACGTATGCATTTACATATGGATGAAAGCCACGCCATTGATACTTTTGAGGTTGTGTTCGTTTATGTCAGAATCACTTATCTATACCTTTTTTCCAAGCTTACATTAATGCGTTACTGCGATAACAATCAACGTAATGTTATAATTTTGCGAAATAAACCGTTCAGGAATATATTTTCTCCAAAGTTGACGAACATACGACTCTACGTCACTGCACAATATGACCATAATGGGTTAAGTAGAGTTGCGAAACAATGACTATCGATTGGAAGAATGTCGTGAAAATGATTATAATTTCTTCACACTACTTGTCTTATGTAATTTGTATATTTAAATAAATTCGCTCATATTTCTTACGCAATCAAGCCATTTTGTACACAATTCTGAAATATACCTCAGCCCTTAAAGATGTACCCATATTATTTCCTGAGATCGAAAAATATTTACGTATCTTCACATATGCAAACATTTAAATTAGTTTGTAAGAAATCTGATTATATATCATTTTTAATGTTATATTAGATATATAAATTATTTTTTCAAATATTTTATTTTATGTTTTTATTTGATAAGTTTTAGATTGTGAGAATATTTTTGCTTATGAAAGTTAAAGTAGATGTTCGGCAGTGTGTAAGCGATATTACGTAAAATAAATAAAATTATCGATTTTTTTTACGTTCAAAAGTAATTATTATGCTGGGGGATATTTATCGATACTCTTATATTTCTGGATATCTTTTTTTATATCGATTTATTTTTCTGCGTATACAGAACATACTTTCCTTTCATTGTATTCCAAAAAAATAATATTTTTATATACCTGCGGAACCTTACAATTGCAAAAATGTGTCGCTAAAGTAAAGTGGACTTAATATACTAATTGTTCGGCAAATAATACAAAAAACCAACCACGATAAAGAAAACCGTGAGTATAGAATTTCAAGTGGACGCTTCCAAATACTTACATGCATATATATATGCATATCGATATGTAGATATGCATGCACATACATATGTACATCTTGTTATAAACTGTTTAGAATATTTTCTGACGTAATAAAGTAACCAAAATACAAAGCTTACAACTACTAAACTTCTTTATAGCATTATTAAGATTAATTTTTGTAAAATACCTGTTTATGTAGGCTACAGTAGGCTAGTTATATATATTTTCAAATATTTTTATATTCGTCTGACACAACATACTTACAAGTGCATACATATTAAATGTACATACATATGTATGCATAGTCAGCATCGTTTATTTTGCATATATTTGAGTCGCGTTTACAAAAATTAAATATAATAAATATGTATAAACATACATATATTCGTTTTATTCAGGAAAGATGCTTTTCACCCCTTAAAGAATCTAAGCTCTATAAGATTGCGACAGGTGGAGGTTATTGTATTTCCAATAGGATAACAAAATGTCTTCACATTGCCCAGAAGGTGGGGTTTATGGGAGGGGTTAGGGAAAATATTGAAAAAAAATGTATTGTTTGGCTAACATCGGGGCTTTATTCGATATTTAAAAGTCGAATTGGTTGGTGTTTTTGAATCGTTTTATCTTTTAAAAAACAATACCCCGTCACCTATCATTTCCTTTACAAAAAATTATATTAAAATGTTTTTGGTTTTTACAGAAATAAGTATTCCTTGATTGCTTTGAAATTGTTTGGCGAATCATGGAGGATCCAAATCGCATGTTGGCTCACACCGGTGGCATGATGGCTCCCCAAGGATATGGATTGTCTGGCCAGGATGATGGCCAGAATGCCGGCAGCGAGAATGAGGTGCGCAAGCAGAAGGACATCGGCGAGATATTGCAACAGATAATGAGCATTTCGGAACAATCACTTGATGAGGCTCAGGCCAGAAAACATACACTTAATTGTCACCGGATGAAGCCGGCCCTATTCTCTGTACTTTGCGAAATCAAGGAGAAGACTGGTATGTTTAAAATATTTTTAAACTGTATTCACACACACATATAACATCTTGGTGCCGGAATACCTATGTTATTTTTAAATATGGTTTTAAGAAAAAAAGATTATATATTGTAGCTGTTATAATAAATCCCTATTATATTCTCTGTTTATTATTATAGTCCTCTCGATTCGCAATACTCAGGAGGAGGAGCCACCAGATCCACAACTGATGAGATTAGACAACATGCTGATTGCTGAGGGCGTGGCAGGACCTGAAAAAGGAGGTGGCGGTGCAGCGGCTGCCTCCGCAGCTGCGGCTAGCCAAGGTGGATCCTTGTCTATAGATGGTGCTGACAATGCCATTGAGCATTCCGATTATCGTGCAAAGCTGGCACAGATTCGTCAAATATATCATCAAGAATTGGAGAAATATGAACAGGCATGCAATGAGTTTACTACGCATGTCATGAATCTTCTACGGGAACAGAGTCGTACGAGGTTAGTATAAAAAATTTATATAGTTAATATAAAGAATATTATTGAAAAAACAATTATTGCAGACCCATAACACCAAAGGAAATTGAACGAATGGTGCAGATCATCCACAAAAAGTTTAGTTCAATACAAATGCAGCTAAAACAGTCAACCTGTGAGGCTGTAATGATCCTTCGTTCACGTTTCCTAGACGCACGTCGCAAGCGCCGCAATTTCAGCAAGCAGGCATCCGAAATACTGAACGAGTATTTCTATAGCCATTTGAGCAACCCATATCCATCCGAAGAGGCCAAAGAGGAGTTGGCACGAAAATGTGGCATCACGGTAGGTTCACCAAAATTAATTGATTCAATTTAATTTCAGCCTTATAAAATCGCAAACACACTTATCTAGGTTTCTCAAGTGTCAAACTGGTTTGGAAACAAGCGTATTCGCTATAAGAAAAACATAGGTAAGGCACAGGAAGAGGCCAATTTGTATGCAGCCAAGAAGGCAGCCGGTGCTTCACCATATTCCATGGCTGGTCCTCCAAGTGGGACAACCACACCCATGATGTCACCCGCTCCGCCACAGGATTCAATGGGTTACCCAATGGGATCTGGTGGCTATGACCAGCAGCAACCTTACGATAACAGCATGGGCGGATATGACCCAAATTTACATCAGGATCTAAGCCCCTGAGGATCAGGGCTGTGAACCACTCCGAACCCTCATACAATTGCGGTCAAAATAACTGCACTGAAAATCTATCATGCAGTTTCTACTTAATATTATGTACGTTCTCTTTTGAAAGAAATTCGGTTTGAATGTGCTTTTTTTTTTTTGCTAGGACCAACAATCCTTTGATAAACCTTTACGGTTTTTAATTCTGCTGTCTTTTTTCTGAGTCATAAGTTTAAAATTTCCATAAATTTAGATATAGTTCAGATAGACATACGTGAATAGAATTTAAAATACGTAATAGCTAGTTTGTGCTTGATAGATTTTGGTTGATGGAAAATATTGCCCTCCTATTAAACCTAAATATTAGTATTCTAATAATATTATGTTTAAAGTGGCACAGTCTCGTTACTTGCTATTCAACAATCGTAATCGTAACTTTTTAACGTTGCCCATCTAAATTTCTTTGCCAGACAAAAAGAAAAATACGAATGCTTATTTCAATATTAATTTGAATGCAAACATGTTTGTAGCATGTAAAATGTAAAATAAATAAATACGTAATATTTTGTTTAGGCTATTATGATTATGATGTCAATGTTTCTTCGTGACTTGAAAGAAATAATAATCAGTACAGACTTTTTCTGTAGGACACCATTTAGCTTATATATAATAACCATCGGAAAATCATATTCAAAGAAACTCAATTATACTGGTAGTATACGAATATTTTCATAAGGAATGAAAGCACAATTTTCAGTGCTATTATTTTGACCGCAGCTGTGTATAAATATATATTTTAACACATTTTACCTACATTTGCGGGTATAAACAAATATTGCATGTGTAAATCATACTATGACGGTTCTTTTTTGGCTACAGTACGTATACGACAGCAAAATAGTGTTTACTAAATTTAAATCTGTACGAAATTTTTAACTTGAACAATACGAAACTAAACCATGTATACGATGTATATCAAATAAATAAACAATACATGTTGTTGTTATCCGCACACTTCAACTATTTAAAAATATTTTAAATGTAAAAACGGTAAAGTCTTTTAAGAAATCAAATGTAACATCTCTAACGAAAGGCGAAGTTTCGCTCTATTTGATTAAATTGTAATAATTTGAAACAACTACACATTTATAATTATTTTAAAGTCTGCATAAAGATTTAATTTTTACATTAAATAAAGTATTATAAACGAGAATGAGCTGATCTATTTTTTAAATTTTTGTTATAAACGCACGTTCCCATTTAATTAAATAAGTTTTACGAAACTAGTTGGTTGCATTAATTGTTAAAACTCCTTCCGCAAAATAAAAATCGTCTTTCGTTCAGAATACAAAATACATAATTCCTTGCCAAACTTTAAACGGATAATAAAACAAATTATTTAAAAGAATTCAAAAACAATTATAATTTTAACTGAAAAATAATCTATGTCTTCGCCCGTCTTTCGCTCACTTTACGGTCAAATAAAACCATTCAATGTATTTCAGTTAGTAAGGTATTGCATTAAAAGTTTTGGATAACAATAGAAAAATATATAAATACACAACTTTACACAAACTACTTAATAAATCAAAAACGAAGTATTAATTAATGGTGGTAAGGGAGAACATTCGAAGATTTTATGAAACTAAAAGGGAAATCCCCGTGTATGGCAGTTCCTTCTTTCCGCGCACGAAACCGAAAGAGACCGAACACCTCTTTGTTTCTATGTAGTGGCTCGGTCAAATAAATATCTGGCTAAAAAAAAAACTAAAAAGTCTTCCTAGAATAGCTAAAAAAAATATATATAATAGTATACAAAATACATACATAAATATATAAAAAGTGTAAAAGTAAATAAAAATATTTACACTTAAAAAAAGTATTTTTGAAAATTTTTAAAGTACTTATCGCTAAATGATAAAATTGGAGTTCATAAAAATATATACATTCAAATTTCTTAATCTGTAAAATCACTAAAAATTAATAAGAAATGAAGATCAAATTTGTTTTATCTAAACGTTTTTATCTCTGCCAAATACCAAAACATCTCTAAAAATATAAAATTATATATACATTTATCTATAATTATTATTTTATTTCCCAAAAATGTATATACATATTATAAATTGAACATTAACATGTTAAATCAACTAAGTTAACAGAGTAGTTTTTGTATGTTTAAGGATTCAGCTTCAGCGCTTAATTTATGAATTGTCGTTATCTTAACGCACATCACTTTCAACCCGGAATATTTTGAATAGTCAATACGGCCACACTGTTGGCAACACGTGCACGAATTAGTGCATTTGAAATAAATTCGTTTTCGTTTATCCTCATTTATACTGAAAGACAGGAAAAATGGGCAAAAAAACGAAAGTTGGAAAGACCAGAAAGGATAAATTCTACCAGCTGGCAAAGGAGACAGGTCTTCGTTCGCGTGCAGCCTTTAAGTTGATTCAGTTAAATCGTAAATTCGGTTTCCTTCAGCAGTCTCAAGTATGTTTGGATTTGTGCGCAGCTCCTGGAGGATGGATGCAGGTGGCCAAGCAGAATATGCCGGTGTCCAGTATTGTGATCGGTGTGGATTTATTCCCCATTCGACCCATAGCTGGTTGCATTGGTCTCATCGAGGACATTACCACCGAAAAGTGCCGTCAATCGTTGACTAGGGAGCTGCAGTCGTGGAAGGCTGACGTTGTTCTTCACGATGGTGCTCCCAATGTGGGTAGAAATTGGCTGTACGATGCCTATCAGCAGATCTGCCTCACTCTGAATGCGCTCAAGTTGAGCACACAGTTTCTACGTAGCGGCGGTTGGTTCGTAACAAAGGTTTTCCGTTCCAAGGACTACAATGCCTTACTTTGGGTCTTGAAACAGCTCTTTAAGAAGGTTCATGCTACTAAACCAAGTGCTTCACGTAAGGAATCCGCTGAGATATTCGTAGTCTGCCAGGGGTACATAGCACCCGATCACATCGATCCCCGTCTATTAGACTCGAAGTACGTGTTTGAGGAACTCGATCTCGATGCCAAGAAGAAAAGTAGCCTGCTTCATCCTGAAAAGCAGAAACGTATCAAGGCCGAGGGTTATACAGCACAGGATATTGCGCTGCGCAACGAACTGGCTGCCACAGAGTTTATGGCGGCTGAAAATGCTCTAGCTGCTCTGCAAGGCATAGGTTCCATCGTCATCGATGATCAACGCATTGCCAAGCACAAGAAAACTACACCAGAGATTCTAGAGTGCTGTAAGGATCTTAAGGTACTGGGTCGCAAAGATATCAAAGGACTTGTTCAATGGTGGAAAGATGTCAGGGAGCTTTTCGTTAAGAAGGAAGACGCGTTGGTTGTCGGAGATGCAAATGGTGAGGAGGAGAAAGCTAAACCATTGACACAAGCAGAAATTGAGGACATGGAAGATGCCGAGCTTCAAACGCAAATAGACACAATTATGGACGAGGAAAAAAAGGATTTGAAGCGAAAGCGTAAGAAGACGCTTAAGACTAAAGCCAAATTGCATGAGAAAATGAACCTTAATATGGTGATCAAAGGTGACGACGGTCCTGTCGAGGAAACAGAGCATGAAATCTTTGACCTCAAAAATATTAACACTTCTGCTGAGCTCGACGATTTGCTAGATGTTCAGCCTGATTTTGCTGTGGATGAAACTCAGCCCGAGCAAGAGAAGCTGCCAAAATACAAGTATTTTGACAAGGATGAAGGGAATATTAATGATGATCTTAACTATGATGACGACGATGATGAAGAGCAAAGCGATGCCTCAGAAGATCAAGACCAAATCGATGGGAAGCAGGGACTGGGCCTTAGCGATGATGAGGATGATGGAAATTCGAAGGGCAAAAACAAAAGAAAAAAACGGTCCGAGAATCCGTTGATCAAGTCGAACGATTTTCGCGATAAAAATACAAAACGGGAGCAACGTGTACAGTTGTGGTATGAAAAAGATGTCCTACAAAATATTCAATCAGATGACGATGAAGAAACCTATGATCTGGATAATCTGGCTAAGGAATACAAGGCCAAGGGTGTGTCAGTTTTGGGTGAGAGTACATTGGACGCCAATGAAGAAGTTATCAAGGGAAAGAAAGCTAAACGCCGTGCACGTCATGAAGGCGCAACGAAGGATAGCAGCAGTTCAGAGTCTTCCGACTCTGAAGATGAAGCTAACAAAGATGGAGAAGATACAGTTCCAGGTTAGTTTAAATATTTGATACAATTAATAAATACTTGCCTTACCAATTTTTATATTTCAGATGCAAACGTAAAAAAGGTTCGCTTAACCGAAAATGAAATGGCCTTGGGAGCATTCCTAACACGCAACAAGAAAACACGACGAGACCTGATCGATGCAGCCTGGAATCGCTATGCTTTTAACGATGAGAACCTTCCCACTTGGTTTGTGCAGGATGAGGATGAGCATATGACCAAACCACAGCCAGTTCCAAAGGAACTAACAGCCGAATACCAACGCAAACTGCAGGAGGTCAATGTGCGTCCAATTAAGAAGGTAATGGAGGCTAAGGCACGTAAACATCGACGTGCCACAAAACGCTTAGCTAAGGCAAAGAAATTGGCCGAGAAAATTATGGAGAATACCGATGCCACCAACCACGAGAAGTCCAAACAACTTAAGAAGGTCTACAAAAAGGCTCAGGAGAAAAAGAAAGAGGTCACATACGTTGTGGCCAAGAAGCAATCAGCAGCTCGTCGAGCCCGTCGTCCAGCAGGTGTTAAAGGTCGCTATCGTGTCGTAGATCCTCGCGAAAAGAAGGATAAGCGGTCATTAGATGCAAAAAAGAGACGCGAAAAAGGTGGCAAAGGACGAAAGGGAAAAGGGCGCAAATAAAATGTTAATTTAAATAAAAACAACTAAATATGAAATATTTTATAGATATTAAAGATACGTGTAAAAATCAGATTTGGTTGTTGTTTTTTTTTTAATAACGCCTGTTTTAAGTCCCGTTAAGTCCCTTACTTCTGAAGACTTCGGAATCAAAACCTCTTTTATTCAATATATGGGAAACCTTTTGCACTCTTTTTTTAGTTCATTAATTTATTTTGAATTTTTTCAATTATTTAAAAAAAAAAAAAGTTTATTGATTTTAGATAAAAGTTGTGCATTGCAACGCCATAAATGGTATTTGACGATAATGCTCTAAATTTAACACAATATCAAAAGCAAAACCGTTTCTAAATATCTGAGTTTGCGGCTATACGGAGTAGTTTGCGTAAGCTAGTGTGTATTATATGTAATTTTAGTAATAATAAATAAATGCATAGCGGTCTTTTAAATATTATTTTCATTCCATATAAATAATTTTATAAATGATATTTTGTTTACTATTTCCAATACAATTCAACCAGTTATTATGAGTTCTTATTTTTATGTATTCTAATAGTATACACATATAAATATTTTTATAAAAAGGTATGAAAGGACTTGTAGATAAGAAGACATCGCTTTTATTATCTGGTCTTCGCACATTATTTTAGCTGATCATCTCGCGGTACTTCAGTTTATGTTTAGTCAACATGTCCGTAACTGTGACGAGCTTCTTAATTGAAAGTATATTAGATAATTCGTGAAGTTCTTGCGAATGTGATACACAAATGTGATGTAAAGTAGCCAGCTCGCGCCCTTGAAGAATTATGAAAAAATTATGTAATGCAAGAAAATACTTAGCCTTAAATCAGCCAAATAACTATACATACTTAAGTATAAAATATAAAAATAATATCTTACCAGTGTCTTGTGAATTAAGATTTGTACTTTGGTCGACAAACATTCCAAGAGGTTGATTTGGATCGTTTACCGAGGACAGTTGGTCCAAGAAAACAATCATACGTTCCTTATTCTTCAATATAAACGGATTGACAACCTCCATGTATTGCTCCTAAAATATAAACAACAAAAAAAACAAAAAAGCCAATTAAAATACAGTAAAAACTATTTTATTTCAATTGTACAAACCTTGCCGCCAAATTCAATCAAGTTTGCTAAGTTCTGCAGACACTTGGCTACCATGATTAAAGACCGAGTTGCTGCCATAGGTGGCGTCTCATTGACCAAGCCAAATTGGCGTGGATTTAGCAATGCTGGGCATAATAGCCGCAAGAATATAAAACCAGAGACGACACGGGTGCGAACCAGCCGCTCTGTTGGCCATTTAGCCATTACAGCCTTCTGAAGACAACTGCAAATGAAACGCACATTTCGGGGACAGGCGTCCGGTGAAGTGAATATCGACTGGGTAACCAAATCAAGGATTTGCAACAGAAATTCTGCATTCGTACAGGCATCATCGTTAACGTCCATTTTCGTTGGATTTAATTCAGCTGACTGTTTACTTTCCAAAATGCGTTGAACGGTTTCACTAACGGCCGACTGCAGGAATCCACTGCATTCAGTTCGCATATATAGATCCATTAGTGTTGTGGCCAAGGAAGCGCCCCGAAAAAGCGTTGTGGTCTCGTTTTCCCGTGTGACTTCCGCCTGGCACAGCATCCGAATTAATTCCGTTTCACGTTTCTCCTGTCGAAATACTCGCAAAAGAGCCGTAGCCAAAGGAACCCGATCATTATGGCACAATTCTGCCAGTGCCTTTACTGCATAAAGCTCCGATTCAAGGAGCAATTGCTGCAAAGGACTGTACTCCTCACAGGGCATTATCAGATCGTCGAGATAACGCATACGCAATCGCAACGAACCCCATTCACCCATCGGTGTCATTCCAGTCAGTTGGTACCAGCCCTCAGTCTCCTGACCATTCTTTAGACTAGATAAGTCAATGGTTAACTCGGCCACTTCAGAGTCCTTGCCGCGTTTTCCGCGGGAAATTAACGTTATAGTTAAGGAGACTACATCTGGAGGAACATCGCTGAGAAAATAAATAAAAACAAGTATAAAATTGTATATTAAATAATATTTAACAATAAAAATTAACTTACTCTAATACAAATTCCTCTTCCCAAACAGGTTCAGGAGCTATTTTGACACGCGTTTTGCCAACTTTGACTTGATTAAGTGAAATACTGCAGTATGGATGTGGCACTAATTTAAATGGTAAGCGATGAGCTTCTAGCACATGTAGGTTAAGACAACGAAGCTCGCGAAGACGTGAAACCTTCTTCTGAGCACGACTTAACTGTGAATCGCATTGCGCCTTAAGAGAATTGATCCATTCCACGTAGCTTTCCTGACTAGGAGCACAAAGATATGTCACAGTGGCCAAACATGGGAGGGCCCTTTCGACAATTTGAAAGCAATAAGGACGCTCCCACAGAGAATCGTGACATTGATAGAGGTAAGCACAGGACAAATCGATCAGACCCTTTGGTTTAGTTTTCTTCGGATTGTCATAGAAGCATAGTTGTGTCTCAGAACCATCGTTTATTAAAGCGAAATATAGTTGTTTCCATTTGGTCGTTTTATCCGATTTCTTGTTCAAATGCCCGTGGTGTTTGATTCCCTTGATCTTCTTAAGACCGATTTGATCACGGCACTCGCGTAATGTTGCATATATCTTTTCAGCAGCCTTTTCAACAACATATTGCTGATTAAACTCTGGCTGAATGCCATTGACAACTGGATGATTGAGAGAATGCCCCTCTACAATTTGCTCCTTACGATATCGATTAATTACCGCATCTAGGCATTCAAATGTACGACCTCCCATCAAATATCGCACACCTTTCTTCTCTATGCGAAATCGTTGAATCTGGTTGTTTATATGGAAGAAGAGAGAGTAATCCCCCGGTGAGTTGTCACTTGGACGAACTAAGAAACTTCCTGGTCCAGCTACAAAGATAAACAAATAAAAATTAAAATTAGAGACTTCATCGTAAATACAATAAAATAAGTATCTGTTCTCTTATTATATTAAAGGGTAGTCATTTTCTAATGCTAATAAATAAATATACACACCTTTAACCAACATATCGACGGCTTCGTTTTTGGTGCAATTCGGATGAAACCAGGGAAACACGGTATTTGGATCGATTGATACATCCAAATCATCGACAAGTTCTCTAAATATCATTCCCTGCTCGCCAGTACGATGGGCAGTAACCCACAACCATCCATCGCCCATATCATTGTGTACGAAAAAGATATCACCTTTCTGGAAACTCAGTTCATCGGTTTCTGGCATTTTTGTATAAGGCAGGATGGCTACGACGCGCTTCTTATCGTTAACTGGTTCCGGTGGAGCAACTGGTATGGCTAACCTTTCGCGCTTTAGTAGGTCACTACAAGAGGTATAGTATCCAACTAGATCGCTTAAGGAAATGAATTGTCGTCCACCAATATAGAAGTCTCCGCAAACAGCTGTAATCCTATGAAAAAGAATAATAAATTCTTATATTAGTCACGACTTTCTAAATAAATCATAAAAGTAAATTTTGGAATATCACAAAAATCCTAAATAAAAACTGGATTATTGGAAAAACAAATGCACTTACCGAAAATGGTTTATGCCGGTGCGTCCATAATAACTTAGGACATAGGAGCCAGGCTTGCGGTCACTTTCCCGAACTGCTCAGCATTAAGATGCAGCGGCAAGAAGAAAACTATTTAATAATCTTCTTACCTTACTTTAGTTTAGTTATACGTACCTAAATAGCTTCCCAGCTTAATGCTTCCCCGCAGACGAGACTCTGCTGAGTAGCGATCAAGTCGTCCATGATACCATTCACTTTCCGGTGGAGCAATAATGGCTGGACGTTCACCTAAGCCAAGGGTTTGGTAAAAATATTTAAAGAAATTTAGTTGAAGGAATCCATGTACCCTTTTTAGTGTAAAGTTTTTATAAACAAAACTGTTAACAGGTGAAACGGGCTCTGTACTTACCATTTAGCATATGGGGTCCATCGAATTCATCGTGGTCCAATTCCTGTGCCAAGTCACCTAGATCAATGCCACCAGTGGCCATCATTCCTCCTAATCCACTCATGCCACCTAGCCCCGCCAGGTTTCCATCATCCGAACAGCCCGTTGGCGATCCGGGCTTATCTTTCTGTATGACAACATCTATATTACCCAAATGAATTAGGTCCGCCATTTTAGATTTAAGATCTCTGTTTAGCAAATGGCAGTCTTAGTCTATATTTAACTTCGAGCGGAATGTGTTTTAATAAAAGCCACATATAGCAACGATATTTTCGCAGTTATTTAAGAATAACGTTAGCTTTTTTTAATGTTTGGGGGCTTCCGTGCTGATTATGTGCTAAACTGTAAGAAATAAAGCAAAAAAGAACACTTAAATAATTATTCATATTTGAAAATATATACATTTTTTAAATGCACATTAAGGGAAGGCTCCTGTTCTATAAAACTTTTTCTCTTTTGTCTTCATAATCAAAAAGGAGTAAGTCTGAGCATTAAGCAATAATGTCGTCGTTAAGCATGGATTTATGAAGGTATTAAGCGGTAATCCAAAGCAGATTATATTAGATGAAGAAGTCTAATATTACTCGAAATCGTCGAGATTCTAGAAATAGTATTTTGGAAACCAAATATTAGGAATAAAGTGAATTAAAAAAAAAATGTTATCTCTAATAATCGCTTCATAAATCTATGCCGAGTTGGAATTATCCCAATAAGAAGAAACTGGGACATTGCTGAGGAATAATTTCAACGATTTACAAAGTAGCTTACCGTAAACGCATATTCTTCGCCATATCAGTAGCGGTAACCTCAAAAAACAAACTGGTATAAATTCGGTAAAATGGTCCAAACAAAAGGATCCGTACCGATGGAATAATATCCGAGGCCCTTGACAAAGAAGTTAAGAATCTAACGAAACATTTTTGAAGATTACAGTCATGAACCATCGGTAACTATACACGACTATACTAAATGAATATACTTAGGTTCCAAGCCAAATGGAAAAACAACCATGATAGCGATACACTAAAGGTACTAGAAAGAATATCGTTGGGTATACCAAGCACCATAGAACCGATTTAATATCTACATATGTATAAAACGAAAACGAAAACAAAGATACACAAATCCGCAACCAGACGTTATAAGCATTTTAAGATTTAGTCTAAGCAATAGCAGTGTTCAGCTGTTTACATTCTGCTTTTCTTAAATCAGCTGTCCTTTATCTCTTCTTTGCCTTTTTGTTCTTAAACTAACAATAAAAAATAAAAATGGGATATATATAGTTACTCATCATTTGATTTTATAAGCAGATTTTGTAATAATTTCCTTAATTTTAACCATAGAGGGAAAGTTAAAAATTTGTTATACTTTCAGTTGTATACTTTAATATTTCAGACAGCAAAATAACATAATAATCTCTCGTTATAACACTAACTTTATTAGTAAACAAATCCTCTATTTTCCGAGTATCAAATTTTAATTTGACCATGTTGTCAAATATTACAAAAAAAACAACAAAAAAAAAAAACTTAAATTTATTGTTTGTTTTCTTTTTATAGTTTATCATCTGTATGACCATTATAAATATTTTTACCTCCGGACGAAAAACGCAGTGAGCCAATGTATATATGTACATATTCCTCAACAGAATCACCGGGCGTCTTGATATATGTAGACATTTTAAGGATAATCTGAGTTTTATCAAAGTATGAGTCGACTTTTTGAAATCATTATTTTTCCCATTCGTACATCCAAATATGTATAATGTTTAATCACAGGGACTGCACCCTCTTGTACGTATATAAAACTCAAGCAATTAATATGAGCTACACACCACACACAAACTTTAGGCTAAGCCCTTTTTTGCCAAGCGAGCCGAACACAAAATCATTCGGTTCTTTTCTTCATACATACACGACCCGAAGAGTCATCATATCATCGCCATCATCATCATCTTATTCATCTCATCCGGGACAAATACTAAATTGGATTCACAAATTTTGGATTGTGTTCTGTTCCTTCACCAATGATTCATTAACTGAACCACCTTCTGGTTTTTTATATGGAGAGCTCCCCAAAAAAAAAAAAAAAAAAAAAATAACCATCTACACAGAACATTTGTCGGTTAATGCGCGTGTGTAAATATTTATATATATATACATTTTATTACATTCAATTGCAGCACCAAACTAAAACAACAAAGCACGTTGTTGGGATCTTCTATTTATTATTAGCTTAATTTATATTATTCATAACAATATCATCTTTAAAAGAAATTAAAATTTCTTCCGTACCGATAGCCACAACCAACGATAGAATTTAATTGTGCGTAGTGTGAACGTAGTGAATCATCATAATATACCATGCACCAAGTTCAACGATTTTCTGGCCGTCAAGATAACGATAATAAGGAGATGTTGCAAAGGAAACGTTACAATGTGAAACAATGAAAAGATATATGACTAAAATATATTAATAATTTTAACTTTTAATTTGTATCGTATAATAATAATTTGTATTATATAATAATAATTTGTAATGTTTTGTTTTTGCAATAAAAAGAATTTGCATTAAAATTTAAAAACATTTTTAAAAATAATATTTTCAAAATATTCTACTCGCTTTGAAAATACTCAATTTACTAAACTTATTTAAAAAAAATATAAAACATTTTTTCTATTCATGTACTTTTTCTTTTAGTCGATACAGATTTGATTAACAAAAATCGTACAGAGCAGGCGGAGAACAAAAATATCTGTCATTAGGAACATGTCATACGGATTCAAATAATTAAACCAAGCAGAACAGAACGACATCTGTGGCTTTTAGTAGGACTGCCAGCGACCTCGATAAAATCATAAACTAATCATACCTATATTTTGTACATGGACAATATATTAGTAAAAAAAAAAAGTTAAATAAATTTATTTAGTATATCATGTCCAAGCGACAACGCGATGGGCTTGATGGCCCGGCTAAAAGGGCTGCCAAAAATCGTTTCAAAAAGCTCGTCCGAGTCGTAATACTTAATATGCAGTGGTTAAATGATGCCACTGAGGATACAGGACTTTCGTTGAATGTGAAAAAGAATGTGGCCATGTTAGTGCGTCAAAAGCGCAAAGTTGGCATGATGACCATGGCAGTAAGTCCAGAAAACCCTTCCATTTTCCCTATGTAATCGGAAACTAGGACTCTTTTTTTATTTATTTATATTTTTGCAAATTTCAGGATAAATCACTACTGCGCACCCCGCATTCCACGCGTACCGTCGCAGATAGAAAGAAGCTGTGCCACATTGTAGCAAATCTAGCATGCTTTTCAAAATTTTCGCCGGTGGGTAGTACCTTTCAAGTGATTGTATATTATTCATAACGCCTTTAAGAACTTTTAGAAAGTTCGCGCCCGTCTCGTACCGCATTTAAAATTCATGGCGGTAACGCCGGGACGTGTTATTATGAAGGAGGGAGATTTTCCGGTAACGATATATTTTATAATCACCGGAGAAGTGGAAATGTCAAAGAATGTATTTAATAAGGTAACGTATTCAAAGTCTGCATGCATTTTATAAAAATGTGATTTTTTTAAATTGTTTCTTTTTTTTTTTTATATATTAGCTTAGTTTAGATATCTATCCCAATTTAAAGTAACTTGCATATTAAAAAGACCCTTTTTAAACTGTTATTTTTTAATAAACAGTTTTAGTTTTAAAAATGTATATCATTTTTAGGCATCCAAGGTCTATGAATTGCAATCGGAGGCTATCCTAGGACCCGGGGATTGTATTGGCGACATAGATGTTATGGAGGACGCACCCAGAACCAACACTTACATCGCCACGAGTAAGCTCTGTCGCAAGTATTTTACATTTTAGATATTAAAATTTGATTTGATAGCTAATTGCGAACTACTGGCCGTCTATAATACAAACTACAAATTGGTACTCCAACCTCATATGCAAAAGTTGTGGCAAGAAAAGAAGCAGGCGCTGCGAGCCCTTGACTATTTTAAGTTTCTAAACGAAGAGCAGGTAAATGGTGGATATTAATTTAAACTAATATATTATATTCACTATTAGACATTTCCATAGATTGTGAATGCCAGCAAGTATGGGTCCATCCAACAGTTTGATCCCTTGGAGACAATATACACAGGGGATATGGGTTCTATGAGCTTTGTATACTTTGTTCTTAGTGGCGAGTGCGTCGTGCTACAGTGCCTCCACATGAAGGTGTATTATCCGTTAACCATATTCGAGCTAGCGTGATTATGATTATTTTTTTCGTATTTTCTAGGTGGACATGATCAACAGGGAAAAGGTTTTTGAATTGGCAATTGTACCCAAAGGTGAGGCCGGAGCCTTGCAAGACGGTTCAAAGTCCAGTAACAATGCGTTGTTTGACGTTAACGAATACATACAGTCTACTTCATCGCTGGATGAGAACAAAGAAAGCAAGAAAAGGGTGGTATGTGCACTCTACACACTCATACTAAAACCATTTTTTATAATTTTCGTGGATTAGATTACCCATTGCATTTCATTAGCTAATATCCATATTTTATTATTTTTTGACAGCTTCGCAAAATGGGTTTGAAAGAAATACAGCGAGCGTGCGCCGATATGAAAAGACCGCCACCTAGGAGGTCTACTAAGGAAACAGGACGATCACGAGCACGCACACGAATTCGGCTGCGCGAAGTAGAACGCCAGGAAGTGAGGGATCAGTATGAGTTGTATATATCTGGCGAGGGCGAAGAATCCTCTGAGTTTTCCGAGGATTTGACTGACGAACGATATAGTGAGATTTCCGTCAGGCAATCGCTGATTTCACCCCTCGTCAGTGAACCGGAAAATGTTGAGGCCGAAACAGAGGGATCAGAAATATTCACCGTCTCGAGCAAATCAATTCAAACAAGTATCGTGGAAATGGATCGCTCGGGGCACTATGAAACGCATTTTATTGACGTTGGCTCTCTAACCTATGGCGGGATATTTGGGTTGGGCGAGAAAATGGATCATCGTGTAATTATGGCAAGAACAACGGTGCAGTGCATTCTTATACCACGATTTTGGCTTTTTGAGCCCGCCCAAAATCCTGGTAACCTTTGGCAGCGAAAGCGTTTTTATATTGAATGCAATATACCAACCAGAGAGGATTTGTTTAAGGACTTCCTCAAAACACGAAAATGGGAAAAGTTTAGGCATGACTATATCGAAAGCATACTAAATGCCGATTCCTTGGCCAACTTTACAAAGGTCGAAGATATACCAGTTATAAGTCGCATTGTGGAGACAAAACCTGACGAATCTTGAATTTGCTACACATTTCTCTTTATACATTTACAAGTTTCCAGCTGGTAATGCGTATAGTATTGTTTTCAAAATTTCTTGGAGCTACGACAGCGAGGTAAAGATTTTTTCAATTCGAATACCTAAATATCGCTGATTTACAATGGCATTTATATACTTCTGTATAAGCCTTAAATGAAATATACAATTATTATTCCGAGAATGCCAATTAATTTTTTGTTAAATAATCTTTAAACTGCATATCTGAACGAGGACACTGAATTGTCATTGTGTTTTTCGTGTTGTGATTTTGCATCACAATTTTGTCGAAAATCGCAAATATCTATTTATCTTATTAAAAAGCGTTTACTGTTTGGGAATAGTTTGCTCTCATGACTTGAATTAGGGACGTATGTACATATTTTATAGTTAGGGGTTGTAACTAATTACATTTAAGCGTTTATTCTTAAATCTAGGGTATGGAAATTCAATTTAAAGTAATTATTTATCAATGAAGACTGGTCGCTAAAGTAAAAACAGTTTTAGCAGTCTTTTAGTAAGCCCGAGAATGCAGTTTATAATCGGGTTTTGGGTAACCCTTGCCTTTGTTACATATATATTTGCAGGTTAGTAAAGCGAAAAATCGTATTTCTGATTGGGAAAAAACGCAGTTTTAACTTGCAGGATCTATCAACATTCCAAAAAGAATACTTTGGATAAAGGATCAAGATTCTAATCAGAATCTTGCCTTTTATTTATTTTTATTCAAGCCATCGGGGTCTTACGATAGCCATTCTGCTTATTATAATTATTACAGGTCTATTCGTTCTCGAAAAATGGCCATAACATTGTTAAATCATCAAGTTAATTTAAAAAACACAATAACCTACAAATATTTCAAATTTATCAAGTATAAGATTAGATCAGATCTCTTATCTAAAAATAGTTTTGGGAAACTGTTTTTAAGGATTTTAAACTGGAGTAATGCAGCTTTCACCATTCATCCAGTTCTAAACTTCACTTTTTTAACGGTAAGTTCTGGTAATTTATATAAAAGATTTTTACTTAATTCTAAACTTTTATATCAAACAGAATTATTGGATAAACAAAGTCTTCAAATATTACATTTTTATCAATAATCCAAATTACACAATCAACAAAAAGTTTGGAAAGAATCAAATAATTACAAAAGCAATTAATAAATCAAAACTAAATCAAAATGCAATTTTAAAAAAAATATTTTTGTACAAAATAACTAGAAAAAAATTGATTGCATTATTTAATTGTATTGAGAGAAAAAATAACTTTCCGCAGAGTGGCATAAACCTTGAAATTCTGCAGAGAAAAAACAAACAAATACAGTGTTATATACAATTTATAAGTAAGAAAAGTACTTTAAAACGATCCATTACATTTCAATTCATAAAAGAATCTTTTCTAAGCACAAGGAACTTTCATGGAAATAATAAGTTAAAGATCCTTGCGGAAAGGGTGAGTTTTGTTAAACCTTATATATTTGGAAAATTGATAACTTAAAAAAATGTATTCTAAGGTGCAAAAATCATCGAGTGTCTCCACAGTTATATTAAAGCAAACTTATATATTGGACAGTATAAAACAAATGTTTGGTGCTAAGAAATCAGTACAATTTAAACACAAGACGGCCAAACCAAGAACGCTTCGTCTTCTCTCAAAAACCCTAAATAAATATTCTTTATATATTATCACAGCAAATATGCAGTTGTTATTATTGATTAAAAGACGAACATTTTTATTAAGAAATATGTTTCGACCAAGCAAAATAAAACAAGAAGAATTTTTTGAGTATTTGTCGGCAAGCAAGACAACCGAAATGTTTGATTATTTTCACTATTTGAAAAACAAAGTAAAAAAAACTACCCTTTACCAAGACCTACTTGAAAAGCATAACTTTTCCCAATTAAAAAAAAAACGTAAACCTACCTACGTAAATGTACCTATAATTGAAAAAAAATATACGAGTAACAAAACAATATCCAGTGATTCACCACTACATCTGTTAACAACAATGATAAGCCCGAATATAAATGTATTACTACATCTAAAATTAACCAAGTCGTACCAAAACAAAACTATTCATTCCGGTCAAATCCATCCTCAAAAAACCGTCACAAAGCTCGATATAAAAAAGAAAACCTCTATTTTTTTAAGAGCTAGAAACGATATAATAATACCAATTCCGACTAAAGTAAATAATGCCAATACATTGGATCGAACAACAAACCTCTTTGATACTGTGGATATCTGCGAGGAATCTGATTCTATAAGCACAACTGAAATTTGCGAAGAATGTTCAATGGACTTGTCGGATTATCATACGAAATCAAACGATATAATACCAATTCAGACGACTTCATTAAATAATGCAAAACAATTGGAACAAATAACCAATAACATTTATTCTGTGAACACCTGCGAGGAATCTGTTTCTATATGCACAACCGAAATTTGCGAAGAATGTTCAACGGACTTATCGGATTATCATACGAAACCAAACGATATAATACCAATTAAGACGACTTCATTAAATAATGCAAAACAATTGGAACAAATAACAAATAACATTTATTCTGTGGACACCTGCGAGGAATATGGTTCTATATGCACAACCGAAATTTGCGAAGAATGCTCAAAGGACTTATCAGATTATCATACGACATCAAAAGATATAATACCAATTCAGACAACTCCATTAAATACTGCAAAACAATTGGAAAAAATAACGAATATCTATCATTCCGTGTACACCTGCGAGGAATATGGTTCTATAAGCACAACCGAAATTTGCGAAGAATGTTCAAAGGAAACAGGTTTTACTCCTAAACCAAGTCTTATAATGCCAACGAAAATATCGATTGGCACAACCATTACTTCGGAGTCTTACTACAAATTCAGTACAGAGCCAACTGTGTTTACAGCTGCATATGCCTTTTCGAAGGAAGATTGTGATGAATGCTCAGATATTTTACAAATTTCTTCTATTTCACAATCACTTCCAGATACAACCCAATCCAATACTAAGACAAGTCAATCTTTTAAATGTAATATATGTTTTGAAGTGAGATCGCATTTAAATGTATTATCGAATTTAAATGAATTATGTAAAGAATGCAATATGACCACAGAATACATTGAAACAACCATTGAGCCACCCATAACATTCGATAAAACTATTCATACTCAAACACCTTTGACAATAGAAGCAGAATCTCAATCACAATTGAGTACTTCATCTTTTAGTACAACTATACTTTTGACAGAAACAGAATCTATATCGCAATTAAGTACTGCATCTAGTAGACCATCAACACTTTCGACAGAAAATGAATTTATATCACAGTTGAGTACTACAAGTAGTAGTCCAACTACACATTCGACAGAAACTGAATCTATATCACAATCAAGTACTGCATCCACAGTTTCGACAGAAACAGAATCTATATCACAATTGAGTACTACAAGTAGTAGTCCAACTACACTTTCGACAGAAACAGAATCTAAATCACAAATGAGTACTACATCTATTAGTCCAACTACTCTTTCGAAAGAAACAGAATCTATGTCACAATTGAGTACTGAATATAGTAGACCATCTACAATTTCGACAGAAACAGAATCTATGTCACAATTGAGTACTGCATCTAGTAGACCATCAACAATTTCGACAGAAACAGAATCTAAATCACATTTTAGTACTACAAGTAGTAGTCCAACTACACTTTCGACAGAAACTGAATCTATATCACAATCAAGTACTGCATCCACAGTTTCGACAGAAACAGAATCTATATCACAACTGAGCACTACAAGTAGTAGTCAGACTACACTTTCGACAGAAACAGAATCTATATCACAATTGAGTACTACAAGTAGTAGTCCAACTATACTTTCGACAGAAACAGAATCTATACCACATTTGAGTACTGCTTCCAGTAAACCATCTACACTTTCGAGAGAAACAGAATCTATATCACAATTAAGTACTGCATCCACAGTTTCGACAGAAACAGAATCTATATCACAACTGAGCAATACAAGTAGTAGTCAAACTACACTTTCGACAGAAACAGAATCTATATCACAATTGAGTACTACAAGTAGTAGTCCAACTACACTTTCGACAGAAACAGAATCTATATCACAGTTGAGTACTGAATATAGTAGACCATCTACACTTTCGACAGAAACAGAATCTATATCACAATTAAGTACAGCATCCACAGTTGCGACAGAAACAAAATCTATATCACAACTGAGTACTACAAGTAGTAGTCAAACTACACTTTCGACAGAAACAGAATCTATATCACAATTGAGTACTACAAGTAGTAGTCCAACTACACTTTCGACAGAAACAGAATCTATATCACAGTTGAGTACTGCATCTAGTAGACCATCTACACTTTCGACAGAAACAGAATCTATATCACAATTAAGTACTGCATCCACAGTTGCGACAGAAACAGAATCTATATCACAACTGAGTACTACAAGTAATAGTCCAACTACACTTTCGACAGAAAAAGAATCTATATCACAATTGAGTACTGCATCTAGTAGACCATCTACACTTTCGACAGAAACAGAATCCATATCACAATTAAGTACTGCATCCACAGTTTCGACAGAAACAGAATCTATATCACAACTGAGTACTACAAGTAATAGTCCAACTACACTTTCGACAGAAACAGAATCTATAACACAATTGAGTACTGCATTTAGTAGGCCATCTACACTTTCGACAGAAACAGAATCTATATCACAGTTGAGTACTGCATCTAGTAGACCATCTACACTTTTGACAGAAAATGAATCTACATCACAAATAAGTACTGCATCTACAGTTTCGACAGAAACAGAATCTATATCCCAATCAAGTACTGCATCCACAGTTTCGAAAGAAACGGAATCTATACCACAACTGAGTACTAAAAGTAGTAGTCAAACTACACTTTCGACAGCAACAGAATCTATATTACAGTTGAGTACTACAAGTAGTAGTCTAACTATATTTTCGACAGAAAGAGAATCTATATCACATTTGAGTACTGCTTCTAGAAGACCATCAATTCTTTCGACAGAAACAGAATCTATATCACACTTGAGTACTGCATCCACAGATTCGACACAAACAGAATCTATATCACAATTGAGTACCACAAGTAGTAGTCCAACTACACTTCCGACAGAAACAGAATCTATATCACAACTGAGTACAGCTTCTA